AACAACAACAACAACTCTCTAGGTTAGTACATATAAAGTATCATTTATCTTAATGACTACTTAGGTTTCTATTAGTCGAGATGTACTGTAATGTAATCAGCTATGTTCTTCAGCCTTTTTGGTTGAAGAATTGGCCTGTTTCTGTTACTTTGCCATCACGTGATATTTTATTGATAAGAGTGTAAAAGATAAAGAGGTTGAATTCCTGTACCTCTAGGGTTTTATTTCTGTAGGTGAGCTAGACCCAGCCTGGCATTTCTAAGGTTAAAGAGATGTGTGTTAAATTTTCGATGGTAACTCTAAGTCATTATACATATTCTCAGCATTTTCTGGGAGCACACTTTGGGGTTTTATGCCATAGGGGTCTTCACACTGACCCACATAAGGCCAGGACTTGGTAGCTGGGGGGGAGGAGAGAGGGCATCCTAGAAGGGAAGAGCTTGCCTTTCTTGGTAGGGAGGGTAGGAATGACAGGGTGGGAGCTACTTTCCTACTGTCACTTAATTTGGAAGGGCCTGCCTGTCACTGAGTAGATAGAGCATGGTTCCACTCCTAGGAGGCAGATCACTGACGTAGTGGTCAGGAGATCATGTCATCGCCCTGAAACCTGGAGTGCCAAAGCCCTAAGGATCCAAGTAGAGGAATGAGCTACCCCACTTGTGTTACCTATGGGGAAACTGAGGCTTCCAGAGGGAAAGGACTTGCCCAGGCTTTCCCAGCAAGTTGGTGGTACAGCTGAGCCCCAGCGGAGCCTCCTGGCTCCCAGGCTGGTGTCCAGGGACATTTATTTAGGACCTGCTGAGAGCAGGTCACAGGTTAGACACCAGATTCACCTCAGCCTTGCCTGGCAACAAATCTGTTTGCCCTCTCTGGAACTCTCCTTGTCTGGTAGCAATACCTTCTGATGCCAGGAGGGTCCCCAGAGATCACAGAGAGGTGTGTGTGTGAGACGGGCTGGGGCGGGGGCTGATTTCCTGAGGGCCTTTTGAACACCACGCCCTCCTTGCTCTCCAGCTGGTGTTCCCTTTGGAATGGTTTCCCCTCAACAAGCCCAGCGTGGGGGACTACTTCCACATGGCCTACAACATCATCACACCTTTCCTCCTGCTCAAGGTACAGGCCAGACCCCCATCCCCACCCCCACCCTTCTACCCCCCTCCTTCTGTCTCTTCCCCTGCCTGACTCGAGGTTGAAAGTTGTCATCAAGGAAGGTGCCAATGCCTGCCTCTGGCCAGGAGGGATGGAGAAGACCGCCCAGAAGGGGCATGTGGTACGGACTCCAGCCCAGTGTGTTGGTGGGTGAATGGAAGGGGTTCAGGGAAGACAGATCTGTAGTCTAAGATTTGCTTGGAAAACCGGCCTGTTTCTGTTAGTTTGCCGTCACGTCATATTTTATTGATAGAGTGTGAAAGAAAAAGAGGTTGAAATTCCGGTATCGCTGGGGTTTTATTTCTGCAGGTGAGCTAGACCCAGCCTGGCATTTCTAAGTTAAAAGAGACGCATGTTAAATTTTTGATGACAACTCTAAGTCATTATATATATTCTCAGCACACTTTGGGGTTTTGTGCCATAGGGGTCTTCACACTGACCCACACAAGGCCAGGATTTGGTAGCTGGGCGGTGGGGGAGAGAGGGCATCTTAGAAGGGAGGAGCTTGCCTTCCTTGGTAGGGAAGGTAGGAATGAGAGGGTGGGAGCGACTTTGTAGACGGCATCTTGTTCTACTTTCACCTGATTTGAAGGGGTCGTTCCACTCCTGGGACGCAGGCATTTGGGGAAGCTAAGGTAGCGATTGAGTGATTGAGGTACCCAGGGAGAGGTCAGGGATGGTTGGGACCACATGGCAGAGGGCCTCTGGTGTCACTGGGCTGCCACCTCTGCCCTTTGTCAATGAAGAGCTCTTAAAAACTGCCTCCATCTACTGTCCCCATCATTTTAAGAACGACAGCTCAACTTTCCAAAAGCAGGACGATTATGATCACAGAATTCAAAGGCACCTTTTCAGTTAAATGGTTACTGAAACAGTACCGCTCTTGACCCCATGTTTGCTATGAACCAGTCACTCAGGAATCCCAGGGTCCCTTTAGCAGTGCAACCCAGCCACCCAGAGTCACCATGGCTATAGGTGCCACTGAGGGTGGTGAGGACTGGGGCCCCGGAGCCTGCCACCTCCAGCTCCTGTGTGGCTGTAGATGAGGTGCTGGCCTCTGTTTCTGGCCTGAGGAAAGGGGGTGCTGTTCCCTTGGACCTTGTGAGGATTTGGAGGCTGGCACAGCTCACCAAAGGGCCTGCCAGTTCCTGAGTGGCTTCCATCGCTGCCCAGCTGTCCAGGAGGGAAGCAGAGGGTGCCACATACCCTCCCTGAGCTGGAGGGAGGGGTCGGGCTGTGGGGACACACTCCCTCTGCACCCCAGCTCATCGAGCGGTCCCCCCGGACCCTGCCGCGCTCCATGATCTATGTCAGCATCATCACCTTCATCATGGGCGCCAGCATCCACCTGGTGGGCGACTCCGTGAACCACCGGCTGCTCTTCAGTGGCTACCAGCACCACCTGTCGGTTCGGGAGAACCCCATCATCAAGAACCTCAAACCAGAGACGCTGGTAAGGCCGCCTCCCCTCCCCGCACATGAGCACTGTCAGCACAAAGGTGCCGTGTGGGTGGGGGGGTGGGGTGGCAACAAGGAAATGACCCCAACCCGCCATCTGCTAAGTGAGGGGTCTCACCTGGGCCCTATGGTAGAGTTCAGAGAATGAGGGCAGGTGCTGGGGGGTGGGGCAGGCCCCCTCCCTGAAGGGCTGACTCCCTGCTCTGACCCGCTGCGTCCTGGCTTCTGCAGATCGACTCCTTTGAGCTGCTTTACTACTATGATGAGTACCTGGGCCACTCCATGTGGTGAGTGATGGGGCCACTCTCTGTCCCCCGGGGCTCTGGGATCCCCCCCTCCCGAGCCTCATGTGTCCACAGGAGGGTACTGTGAGTATGGCCCCTGGGGAGGTGGCTTCTGCTTTGGAGTCTGGGTCCTGGCATCCTGCCCACTGCCTCCCAGCCCGCAGTGTTCCCGACGGCCACTAGAGGGCAGTGAGCAGCTGCCAGCCCTTTTTGCCAAGTCTGGAGCCTGAGGAGGCTGAGGGAGGAGGGTGCAGCCCTAATAAACTCCCCCAGATGGTGATGTGGGGATACAGTCGGGGGCACCCTCCCCTCCAGTCAGGCGTGTGGTCTGTGTCTAAGGCAATGGGATTCAGTTGTGGGCATGGGGGCTGTTTGTGTTCTCCCCACGCCTTCCCACCCACCACCTAGAGGAAACCTCAGAAGTGGAGACTCAGCCACAGGAGATTCAGAAACTCCACTCCACAGGAAATACAGAGGCCTGAGCGGGGAGGGCTGGACAGGGCCACCAGCAATAGTGAGAACTACTCTGGGACCTGGGTGGTCTTACATCTGAGTGGGAGCTTAGTTGCTACGTCACACACACACTGTGTACCCTTGTGTCTCCAGGGTTGGCTTCAGGGCCAGGAAGTGGCTCCTCTGGGCTCACTGGGCTCAGGGTCTAAACAGGTGTCTAGGTGTATGGGTGGCTATGGGTGGGGGGTGGGGTGAAAGAGAAGGGGTGGCTGAGAGCAGGGGGCTGTGGGGAAGCGAGGGGCTTCGGGGCTGAGGCTGTGGGCTGAGTGGGGGCTGCTGGCATGTGGTGTTCTTTCCCTTCGTTAACCTGGACCTCAGCCTCTCTCTGCTCAGCCCTGCGGGGTACACAGGGGCTGCTTGTGTTTGGGGTGTTTGTGGAAGACAGAGGCACCCACCCCCACATGGATAGGCCCCCAGTGTCCCCACCCAGGTCCTCACCCACCCAGGGTCCCCAGGGCAGGAAAGGCTAAGCATCAAGTCAGGATTTTGTACACACTGAGCAAACACCCATGACAGTGAGGAACAGGGGCAGCCGGCAGACCCTGACGGCTCCTGCCTCCCTGTTGCAGGTACGTCCCCTTCTTCCTCATCCTCTTCATGTACTTCAGTGGCTGCTTCACTGCCACCAAAGCTGAGAGCGCCATGCCGGGGGCAGCCCTGCTCCTGGTGGTGCCCAGTGGCCTGTACTACTGGTGAGTGGACATACGGGTGCCTGGTGGGGATTTAGTGAGCCCCAGCAGTACACATCCAATCTGACGACAGACCTGCTAAGGGGACCCCAGGTGAGGGGCTCCCTCTCAGGCCCTCTTACCTCCTCTTCAGTCGCTTCCCCTGGAGACAGGTTCCCAGGGAGTGTGGACATCCTAGGAAGGAAGGGCCTGGCTGCTCTGGGGCCTGTCCCTTACTGGCTGAGAGGGTCAGCTGAGAGGATTAAAAAAGAAAGGGATTCAAACTGCAACAAAAGGAAACAGGTTCAATGTGGAGCGCTTCCTGCCCACTTCTTCCCCCAAAGCATGCTGGAGCCCTGATAGGTAGTTACAATAGGAGCTACGGCCGCAGCACAACGCCTTGTCCAATGTGTACCCAGCTCATCTCAGTGACCTGGGCACTTAGGGCTGCTGGGGGTGCTGTGGGTTAAGTATTGAGCTGCGAATCCAAAGGTTGGCAGTTTGAACCTACCAGCTGCTTCTCGGGAGCAAGATGAGGCTGTCTCCTTCTACAATATCAGAAACTCCAAGGAGCAGTTCGAATCTGCCCTGTAGGACACGCCTAGAGTGGGAGTGGACCTGAAGGTAGTGGAGTTGGGTTGGGTTCCCCTGTGCAGGTTCTACCTGGTCTCTAAGGGGGCTTCCCCGAGGTGGCTGAGCCACTGTATAGCACAGCTGTAGCGTCCTGAAGATGAGGCAGCCTTGCAGCTCTCCCCAGCGGCAGGGGAGTGGACCAGGTGACTCTCAAAATCCCTGCGACAAGTGAGACTGAACTGGTGCAGGGCGAGGGTCCACATGGCAAGGACGGTGCTAGGTATAGCACCACAAGCTGAAGGAGCCCTGGGAGAGCCGAGACTCTGCCCCAGTCTTCAAAGTAATAATCATGACAACTCCATACATTGGAACAGCATTCCCAAACTCCTATGCCAACAGAAAACAAGCTAGTGACATGAAGGCAGCAAGCAGGCAGCAGGGAGTGGTGGGGACTGTGGCAAACTGTAAACCAATGCCACTTCCTCCTCTAGTCAGTTTTTGTCACGTGGTGAGAACAGACCTAGGGTGACCAGAGAAGTGACGCAGCTACATTTTGGGGTAATCTAACGTGGCAACAAACTCAACATTTAAAACCATACCTGTATAAGCCAAACCAATAATGCTGCAGGTGGAATGCCGTTCGAGCAGCCCGAGTTCCTGAGCCTGGCATGATAGTCTGTTTCTCGGGCACAGGGAGAATGCCAGGAAGGATGGGGGTGCCCTGCCCCCGCCTCACCCTGCCCCCTGGCCTCTTCAGGTACCTGGTCACCGAGGGCCAGATCTTCATCCTCTTCATCTTCACCTCCTTTGCCATGCTGGCCCTTGTCCTGCACCAGAAACGTAAGCACCTCTTCCTGGACAGCAATGGCCTCTTCCTCCTCTACTCCTTCACCCTCACCCTCCTGCTGGTGGCACTCTGGGTTGCCTGGCTGTGGAACGATCCCGTGCTCAGGAAGAAGTACCCAGGCGTCATCTACGTCCCTGAGCCCTGGGCCTTCTACACCCTCCACATCAGCAGCCAGCACTGAGCACTGCTGGGTGGGCCATGGACTAGGAGGGGCTTCTGAGCACACTGTGTGTGTGTGCGTGTGCCCGCCCCTGGTGGGCAGCAGTGACAGAAACGTGGGCAGGGTAAGCGATGTGCACATGGATGGGTATGTGTGTGTGTGTGTGTGTGTGTGCGCGCGTGCGTGGAGTGAGTCATAAGACTCCATTGTTTTGGTCAGGTTTCTATAAAGTCAAGTGTCTTCCCAGCTTAGATTTAGGAAGAATGTCTTGGCCAAGGTCTGGGCCCTGTCCTCTGGAAAGTGGGGGCCATTGATGGCCAAATAGGAGAGGCTTGGAGGCGGGCTGTAAGTGGGGAGGGGACTCAGCCTGCTGCTCACCACCATGACCTGGAAGCAAGGTTGGACAGGTTTCATGAACTTTCTGTGTATTCTGAGCAAATCATTCCCCTCTGTGGGCCTCCTTTATACCAGGTAGTCTCAAGGTAGAGCAGGGGACTAGGCTTGCTGAGTCTTAGGACAGCTTTGGGATAAATTGTTACATCCTGAAGCCCCGCTGCCTGGCACTGCCCTCTCCCACCAGGGAGGTATGTGTATGCCCTAACCTCAAGCCCCTTCCCACCCCCCATGATTCTGACCTACTGTCTCCTTTACTGCACTAGCCTAGCCTTGTGGCCTCCTACTGTCTCCCTCTGTCTGCCAGACACTCCTATCCCCCTATGCCTGCTCCAGAAGAATTAGGGCACCCCCTTCCTAACAGCCTGGCCACAAGTGTTTGAACTACACTGAAGTCCACGTTCTCAAATGGTCTACGAGGCCCTCTGGCCCATTGCAAGGGTGGGGTGGGCCCCTTGAGCCTGCAGCCAGCCTCGTCCTGGCCTGAATCACATGCCTGCCTCTGCTTCCAGGCTGTGGGTCCAAAGCTCCACATACCTGAAGGCTCCACAGCCTCATGTCCCAGCCAGCACTGACCCACGTGTGTGTGTGTGTGTGTGTGTGTGTGTGTCAGGGACCTGTGTGTGTGTGTGTTAGGGACCTGCCTGCCTCGCCTTAACAGGACCTAGCCTCTGCCCGTATTCTCAGGTAGCCCCTTGCTGTAGCCTCCCTAGGGCTCCCAAAGCCCATCTGAACCAGTCCTTGGTGGCACCCTCCGAAGGGGAGGTGTGTGAATAAAGGCTGTGCAGAGCTTGACTAGTGGTTGCTTCTTGCTTTGGGTGTGATTTGGGGGGCAGAAGGGAGTTCTCTTGTGTGTGTGTGTCCAGGGGGACTGGCTAATTTGGGGCTCCCCCTGGGCAGACCTCAAGGCCCACCCAGCCTCCCGTCTGCTACTGCCCACTGGCCCTCCATACCACCTCACAGGCACCAGAGCTGGGGAACAGGCGGTGTTGCCTCTTAGTCCTACACAGCTATCTTAGAGAAGTTGGGGTGTCCCATTGAGCCTGCCAGCCCCATCCCTAAGGCTGGAAGGGGGCTGCGGGTTTGTTGCAGGTTGGCACTTAGCTGTGACCGATTCCCTTGATCCTTTGCTGTCTGGACCCATGGAATTCAAAGTGTTCAGCCTCACTGGGGCAGGTGCTGTCAGATGACACAGTAGGTGGTGGACAGGGATGGAGGGGACCAAGCTGAGTCTAGGAAGAAATCCCCCCCAAACAGAAAACTCATCTGATTTCTTCCCTACAATGCGGACTCGGGCCCTTCAAACCCTTGCTCTGGGGAAGGACTTGACTATCGTATGTGTCAGGGGCCTTGATAAGTGAAGTGTGAAAAACAGAAAGCTGAATAAGGAGCTAGGCATGGGAGTGACTAGAACAGGGCAGAAAGCGCAACAGTAGTAAAGCCTTGGACCTCCTTCTCCCTGAGCTCTGGGCAGTCTTATGGGGAACACTTCCCTAGGGGCACTTGAGTATAAGATAGCAGGAGAGTAGTTATAAATGGAGGTTTCTGCCCCCACCCTCCACCTGGTGAATCTAATACCTGCTCTGGTCAGGTAAGGACAAAAGTCATTGGATTTTCGGCCCACCCTAATCCAGGTTAACTTCATCTTCACTTGGTTACATCTGCAACATTCTCCCTTTCCAAATGAGGTCTCTTTCACTGGTTCTAGGTGGCCTGAGTTTTGGAGGACACTTCCGCCAATACAGACCTGAAGCTTAAGCTCTGGATCCTTCGTTCTGGGGGTGCTCAGGACTGAGAGGAGCAAAGCTCAGTGGGCCTCTAAGGTCTGCTGTGTCTGCAGACATGCTCTGAACCTACCTAGAGCTCAGACTGAGGGCTGGAGGGTGACTCCTCAGAATGCCTCTGTCTACTTTCCTGAGGCTCCAGCAGGTGGGGCGGAGGCAGCAGACAGAGGAAGAGCCTAAAAGTTCAGCCGTTACCCAAAAGGTTGGTAGTTCAAACCCTGTAAACTCAGTCTGCTCCTGTGAAGTTAAGTGCCATCAAGTCTGTTTCCTAGGAGTGCCTGGTGGGCTTGAACTGCTGACTTTGTGGTCCAAACTAATCTTGGCGATCCAGTGCATTATCCTGCAGTGCCACAACCAGGACTCGCCGGTAAAAATTTGTTTTTGCTGTTAAGTGCTATCAAATTGGTTCCAAGTCATAGTTCTGACTCATAGTTCCAACTCACAGTTTTGATATAGCGACCCTGTATAGGGTTTCTGAAACCCTGTACAGGGTTGCTATGAGTCAGAACTGACTCCATGGCAAATAACAACAACAACATAGGGTTTCTGAGGAACAACTAGTGAATTTGAACCACTGATCTTGTGGTTCAAACCAACTTTGCAGTCCAGCACACTAACCTACAGTGCCACACCAGGACACCTACAGCCTGGAAAACTCACATAGGGTAAGAATTTGCTAGCCAGCACACAACACCACCAACACATGACCTACACCTCAAGGAAATGCGTTTATCTCCCACGCCTTCCCAAACAGGGACTTGGCATGTAGCCAGCAGAGCTGTACATAGCTTGGTCCCTCCAGGCTTCCTTATGAGACCCTGCTCTACCCAGTGCCCACGCAAGACCCTGCCTGCTTCCCACTTCCTCCTCCTGCCTCTCAGAGCAGCCAGCCTTGCTTCCGTTTCACACCCAGTGGGGAAGAGCCAGAATCCACAAACACATTCTCCAACGACGATGAAGACGTAAATCAAGAGACACAATTTGGACAATGTTGGAGAACTTTCCTCAGAGAAGGAGGGAGGGAGAGAAGAGACCAGAGGTAGCCCCCCAGTCCACAAATGTTTGTACAAATTAGGAAGAGGTAATGCTTCTACTGGCCCAAGGCATCCCCTCACTAGAACTCACTCGTCCTTGGTCTAGGAGCAGTGGCCCTAACCAGGTGGGCAGAACGCTGAACTTGAAGCCCCACAGACAAACTGGACAGTTGTGGACAAGGTCCTCCCGCCCCACCACAGGAAATGGCATCTCCGAGATGGAAAGGGAAAGCCCACACTAGCCCTGTTGCTCTGGGAAACACCCATCCTGCCCTAGGTTCCTTTATTGGGGAGGGGAGCAGCACAAACCACTGAGCAAAGAGAAGTGTCAGCAGTTAGTGCCAAGAGGCCTCAGCCCAGGCCACCCCGCCCTCTCCTGCTAAGGGAGGGAAGGGAACTGACATCTGTTGAGAGCTGTGTACTGGCCATTTGATTCAGCGGCCCTGTCATGTGGCACAGAAGAGGAGAAATGACCACTTAGCAAGTCAGGGTCAGAGGAAGGATTTGCGTTCACATGTGGGGCCCCAAAGTCTCTTTGTGTAACACTGCATCCCACAGCTGTGGAGTCAGTTTTGAGTCTCGGATGTGCCATCTTGGACAGACTCCATTCTGGTCTTCAAGATACGTGTCCTGAGTAATGTGACATCCTGTGTTGAGTGCCTGTTACAGGGGTGCTTACCTCCACTTTGCTTAGTCCCGGGAGACAGAGAAGGCCTGTTTGAGACAGGTGTCCAGGACCCTGTGTGTTTCACTGACCCCTCCGGGGTGCAGGGTATTCAGTGTTGCCATAACAAAATACCACAAAGTAGGTGACTTCTAAGAACACAAATCAGGGTCCTGGCCTTGTGGAGTCCTTCCGAGGGCTCCAGAGGGGACCTGCTCGTGCCTCTCTCTGGACGGTTGGTGGCTGACAGCCATCCTTGTTCCTTTGTTGTTTATATGCATGTGCCTCTTGTCACGGGTCTTCCCTGTGTGTGACTTTCTGTTCTGCTCTGTATAAAATGCCACTCGGCAGGGATTAAGATTAGGACCCACTGTATTCCAGGGAGTCATGCCGTGGTTATGCACTCCGCTACTTACCAAAAGGTCAGCAGTTCAAACCCATAATTGCTTTGAGAGAGAAAGATGTGGCAATGTGCACCTATAAAATGACAGCCTTGGGAACCGTCGGGCACTCCTCCCGTCCTGTAGAGTTGCTGTGAGTTGAAATTGACTAGACAGTACTGGGATTGGTTTCGTTTTCTTTCAACAACAATACTAGTGTCACATCTGCAAAGGAAAGCCCTGATTCTCAACAAGGCCACATTCGTCACTGCAGTTACAACTTCCACATATCTTTTTGTTGTTGCTCAGTGCCGTCGAGTTGGTTCTGGCTCGTAGCGACCCTGTATAGGGTTTCAGAGGAGCAACTGGTGAGTTTGAACCGCAGACCTTGCAGTTCAAACCAAACTTGAGGTTGAGAGTTTACTCTGGTGCCACACCAGGGAGTTTGGTGGGGACATAATTCACCCAGGAAGGAACAACAGTATTTCTCATTTTGCTTCAGAGTGAGCTTCCCAAGGCAGGCAGGGACTCCAAAGTCTGGGGAGGGCCCCCTGAAGTCCCACTTCCTCAAAAACAAGGCCTCCTCGCCTGCTCAGGCCCTGGCTGGGGCACCGGAAGCTGGAATCTGACCCCAGTGGCGTGGGGCCCGGTCTCCATGGCAGCGCGGATTTATTACCGGAGGCCTCCACCTTGCTTGGCGGACTTTCGACTTGAAGCCAGGAAGAAAGACGACTGAGATCAGCAGTCTGGGAGCAGGAACTCACAGGTGGCACCCAGAGATCAGGACAGATGGTGAGTGGAGGGTCTATGTCCCCCGGGTCTGCCGACAGGGCTGGGGAGTGGGCCATCTAACGAGTCCTTCCCTGACCCTTCTCTCTGCTGCAGGCCAAGTTTCTTACCCAGGACCAGATTAATGGTAGGTTGTGTTAGCTCTTTAATTACTAAGTCAAAGCAAAATATGGATCTCATTAGGCCATTTGCTCTGTTCATTTTTTATCAGTGGGAGGAAGGCGGCTGGTGATTGTGCTAGGCCCACCCATGGACAGGGGCAGCTGTTGCAGGAGACCTGGGCTTGGTGGAGGTGGGGGAGAGGGCTCAAAGGTAGAACTATGGGTTTTATATCTGTCAGTGTGGTTTACAAGCAGGGGTGATGGGAGAGAGAACTAGGTTTTCTTCCTCCAGAATCTGATAGGTCTTTTGAGGGGGAGTGAAATATTGAAGAGCAAAGATGTCAGCTTGAGGACTAAGGTGCACCTGACCCAAGCCATGGTACTTTCAATAACCTCATATGCATGCAAAAGCTGGACAGTGAATAAGGAAGACTAGAGAAGACTTGATGCATTTGAGTTATGGTGTTGGAGGAGAATATGGAAAGTGCCATGGGCTGCCAAAAGAACCAACAGATCTGAGTTGGAAGAAGTGCAGCCAGAGTGTTCCTTGGAGGCCAAGATGGCCAAACTTCGTCTCTAATGCTTCGGACATATTGTCAGGAGGGACCAGTCACTGGAGAAGGATATCATGTTTGGTAAGGTGGAGGGTCAGAGAAAAAGAGGAAGACCCCCAGAGAGATGGATTGGCCAAGTGGCAGCATCGATGGACTCAAGCGTGGCAACAATTGTGAGTTTGGCTCAGGACCGGGCAGTGTTTCGTTCTGCTGTGCATAAGGTACCAACTTGATGGCACTTAACAACAACAATAACAACAACAAGGGGGGAGACAGGAGTTAGGGGATGGAGAGAGAATGTTTAACTGTAGTAGAGGCCTAACACACTAACAGAAGGGGTTTTGTAATGGACTGAAAGAGAGAAAAGGGCCAGGTCGGCCACCTCGGGTAGGGTACTTCCTCTCTCTGGGCCTCAATCTCCTCATCTATACAATCGGAGTAAGACTAGGTGGTCTTTAAGGTCCCCTCTGCTCTGATATCAAACCTGTCTCTGTGTAAACACTTTACAGCGTGACCTGTCGGTCCCCAACCAGACTTCTACCTCCGTCAGACCAAGAAGTGTCGGGGGTGAGACAGATCTGACTTGGGCTGGATTACAGAAAACACGGGGGCCCAGAAGTAGGCCAGTGAGAGCCTTGTGGCTGAAGCACTGGTGCCTCTGGTAGGGGAGACCCAGCTGAGCCCACCCTGGAGCCTGCGGGAGACACCACCAGCTGTCCATGGGTGCTGTGCCCCTGAAGCAGTCCCAAGTGGACAGCCATCATTCCACCTTTATTCACCCCATTCTTTCAGCTCTCTGCTGCTCTGTCTTCTCACTGAGGCCTTCCCCAACCATTTTCAACTTGAAGCCAGGAGATGATGGGATCACAGCTACCTCAGTTCTGGGGTGCCCTGGAGATCCAGGACTGGGGTGCCCCTGGAAGTAGGTTTAAGGTTACTTGGGCAAGAATTCCTCAGAACTTGGCCTAGAAGAGTGGAGTTGAAGAGGTGGGGTTCAGGTGGACAGCTTCCTTCAATTCCTCTCCTCACACCAAGAGGAAGGCCAAAGCTAGAGTGGGGCCTGCCCAAGACAGGCCCTCCTCCTTGGGTGGGCTTGGGGATGGAGCCCAGCTCTCAGCCTCACCATCCCCTTTTCTCCCTCATTCTGAGGTTTGTTCTGAGGATGGAGAGAGAATGTTTAACTGTAGTAGAGGCCTAACACATAACGCTATGCCCCCCCGAGGTCCCCAGAAGTGTAAGCTTCTCTTTGTGTCTCAGCATCGGGCACCACAAGTCCATAAATGTTTAATGAACAACTGGATAGGGTAGCCTGCTGAGGTGGGAAGGACAATGACCTTGTAGGCAGCAGGACCTGGGGTCCAGTCACCGCCAAGCCTCAGTTTTCTCATCTATGAAATAGGGAGAGTGGAACCACCTCACCAGGCTGTGAGTGAGGGCCTGAGGGGACCCGTCACAGCCTGACCCTGGGCCCGCTGCAGGGTGGGTGTTACCAGGTGTGTCCTGGAACCCACTGGTACATTTTCAGGAATACTGTGAGCTCCTTGTCAAACCCAGCCATTATGTAAAAATGTAGAAGCAAACAAAATTCCAGTTCCTTCATATCTATCACGGTGGTGCGAAAGCTTCGCAAAGAGGCTTCAGTGCAACGAATGTAATTGGTACAGGATGAGAAATCAGTTAGCAGGAGATCCCATGTCGGCTTTAATAACAATATATTCATGGGAAAAGTCACTGGTACCAATTCCATCTGTCAAATCATGGTCGAATGGCAACTATAAATTGGTTACTGGTACAAGCAGTCAACAAAACTCCATCATGATACAGAATTTATAATAAAGAATACTATGTATCTTCCCACTCATTGAGCTGATCCCAACTCAGGATTTCGGAGGCTATAAATCTTTGCAGGAGCAGAAATCTTCATCTTTCTTCCCAGGGAGCCCTGGGTGGGCTCAGACCCCTGACTTTGTGTTTCAAAGTCCAGTGCTTATCCTACAGAGCCACCTCATTCCCGATAGGCAGGATTCTTGTTGCTTGTTAAGTGCTGTCGAGTCAGTTCTGACTCATAATGACCCTGTATAAGGTTTCCAAGGATCAGCTGGTGAGTTTAAACACCGACTTTATGGTTCAAACTGGCCTTCGGGCCCAGTGCTTCACATCAGGACTCCATGTTGTTGTTGTTTGGTGCCATTGAATCGGGACCAACTCATAGTGACCCTATACACAACAGAACAAAACAGTGCCCGATCCTGGACCAACCTCACAATTGTTTCCACGCTTGAACCCATCGATGCTGCCACTTGGCCAATCCATCTCGTTGGGGGTCTTCCTCTTTTTCTCTGACCCTCCACCTTACCAAACATGATATCCTTCTCTAGCAACTGGTCCCTCCTGACAATATGTCCTAAGTATGAGAGACAAAGTTTGGCCATCCTGGCCTCCAAGGAACATTCTGACTGCACTTCTTCCAACTCAGATCTGTTGGTTCTTTCAGATTTAGCAAGACTGCACCAAACTATTTTCCACATCAGCTTCTCTTCTTGATCTCCTCAAGGAATACTGCCTTTGAGTGAGAATTGTCCCATTCCTTTCTTGTCAGGATTTGTAAAGCAAATTCCAGTTAGTCAAAGCATGCAGCCTATTGGTAGGAAAATGGTTAGTTGTGTTTCCTGAGATCTAGAGAATGGATTTAACTTTATTACAACTTTCTCCTGAGGAGTGGCTGCTGTTAGCAGTCTAGTGCTTATCCTACAACGACACCCAGGCGCCTTGTTGTGCATCTTATTATTATTATTCTGCAATCCATAGCCCTCTTTTTTAAAAAAATAGTTGCTGTCAAATGATTCTGACTCATGGCAGCTCTAAGGCTGCTTTTTCTGAAGCAGATCACCAGGCCTTTCTTCTGAGGTGCCTCTGAATAGACTCAGACCTCCAACTTTCAGTCAGCAGTCAAGTGCATTAACCATTTGTCCCACCCAGGGACTTCATCTCTAACATTGGTAGCATTTATAATAAATTTATATACATATTTATAGATGCACATCTCCCCATTAAAACTGCCTGTTAAACATCCACCAGGGCACAACTGCCATTGCCCTAGATCAACTGAGACAGGCTCTTACCTGCCCTGGCACATTTGCATATTCAAAGGAATGGGTTTTGTTTTTGTGTTGAAATCCAATTCATTTACCTCAGTTCATTCTTTCATGGAGTGGGAACCGCTGACCTTGTGTGTCTCAGTCCAGTGCTGATCCTACAGCGCTACATCAGGAATCCAAATGATGCTGAGCTCCCCGTCGGGAAATCGAACCCTGGCTTCCCACATGACAGGCAGGGATACTCACCGCTATACAAAGGAGAATGTGCCCTTCAACAAATACTTGTTGTGGTGTTGTTAAGTGCTGTCAGGTTGGTTCCGACCCACAGCGACCCTATGTAGGGTTTCTGAGGAATGGCTGGTGAGCTTGAAGCACCGACCTTGCAGTTCAAACTGACTTAGCAATCCAGCGCATTAACCCACAGTGCCACACCAGGACTCCACACCAAATCTATGAATCCTTTATTTGTACCAGTCCTGTGGTGGGCATTAAAGAATCAGCAGTGAACACAAGAGTCAAAGGCCCTACCCTCACGGGGTTCGCTTTCGAGTGAACGACAAACAAAAACAAGAAAACCAAACCAATTGCCGTCCAGCTGATTCTAAGTCACAGTGACCCCATGTGTGTCCGAGTCATTCTGTGTCCCATAGAGTTCTCATTGTTGTGACCTTTAGGAAACAGACGACCCGGCCTATCTTCCAAGGTACCTCTGGTTGGGTTCACACTTCGAACTTCTTGGTTAGTTGGCTTAACTAGTTGGCTTAACTAGTTGGCTTAATCCACACCAAACAAAACTAATAAAATACTTAGTATGGTCAATGGTGGAGAAGGAGGTCCGGGCCAGTCTGATTGTTTATTTTGGTTGGAGAACCTGTTAGAAAGCTGGCCATCCAGACCTCTAAAGGGTCAATCTGTCAAGGTAGAAAGACAGAGCATACTGAATTGAACAGATTGTTAGCCTGGTTTTAGAATTTGCATCATTATAGATCTATGGGAGGTGGGCCCACCTGTGGCCAGCTCTGATTCTGAGCCATGTTTGTGACCATGGTCTCCAGCACTGGTCAGTGGCAACAAGAGTCTTAGGATGACATTGAACACTCAGAAGTGAGACCACTCAGTCTCCGGAAAACCCACCCAGAAGGACAAGGTGGGGTGGCCACGACACATCCCCCTCCCTCCTGGGTACAGAGAGAAGCACCTTTTTTGTCCCCCTGATGTGCCGTGACCAGGCCAGCCCCTCTTGGAGGGAATTAGGGTTGGGGTCTTAGGCTCAGCCACTGCAGCCGCTACCACCTGGTCTTGTCTTTACTTTGCCTTTCTGAAGCTTCTTGCTAAGTGCTATCAAGTCTGTTCTGACTCACAGTGACCCTGTGTAGGGTTTCCGAGGAGCCGCTGGTGAGGTTGAACTGCTGACCTTGTGGTTTGCAGTCCAGTCCTGATTCAACAACATTACACCAGGAGACCTTAGACTCTGAAAAGTTCTGAAAGAGCAGGCTGGGACCCTCCGCTCTCAGCCTCTCTGCAATTACAAAGGCCAGTCATTGTCCCTCAGCCCCACCGGGCCCGCCTGCCTTTCTTAGAGGCCCTCCAGAAATCCTAGAACGAAGGACTGTGGCCAGGAAGTGGGAGGCCGGAGTGTGATTTCATTAAGGACTATGGGTCCCTCCCCCTCTCTGCTGTGTCTGGTGACCCTCTGACCTGGAATAGGCTGCCGATTGGACGGTGGCTGTGTGGGCTCTCACTGATCCAGTCTTCACTGCCCCGTCTGCAAAATGAAGCGAATAATGGTATCAGCCTCAGGAGGTTGTTGTGAAGTACCGTTGAGTTGGTTCCAACTCATAGCGATCCTGTATAGCGGTTTCAAGGAGTGGCTGGTGAGTTTGAACCACTGACCTTGTGATCATAGATGAGTTGTGAGGAGTGAGGGTCAGGGGGTTCTCAGTAGGGTAGACTGTCATTGTTATTATCAGCTAAGGGGAGGCTGGTCCCGGCTGCCGAGGAACCATGTGGGTGATGTAAAAAGCAGAAGAGAGAAGTGGTACATGAAGGGCACAGTCCAGGGCTGAGAGGGCACCCAAAGCGCCTGGGCCAGCAGAATTCTCACTACGAAGCTTCAGCAAGTGGTGGGTCTCACTTGCCTCTTTGGGAAAACAAATGGGACTGAATTAGACTCACCTGTTCTTAGGTGCCTTGGAAGACTCATAGTGCCTCCAAGTGACAGAGTAGATCTGCCTCCTAGGGTTGGAGGAAGACTCAGTGGCAGCCGTGTTGGCTGGAAGTGAAGAGAGCTTGAAATACGAAAATCCTCAAATTGGACCAACACCACCACGATAAACAGAGAAAAGACTGAAGTTATCAAAGACTTCATTTTGCTTTGATCCACAGTCAGCACTCATAGAAGCAGCCGTCAAGAAATCAAGCAATGTATTGTATTAGGCAAATCTGCAGCACAAGACCTCTTTCAGGTGTTCAAGAGCAAAGAAGTCACTTTGAGGACAAAGGTGCACCTAACCCAAGCCTTGGTATTTTCAGTCACCTCATGTGCATGTGAAAGTTGGAAAATGAGGAATTAAGACCTTAGAAGAATTGATGCATATGAATTGTGGTGTTGGAGACGAATATTGAAAGTACTGTGGATTGCTCTGATAGCGTAGTGGTTACAAATCGGGCTGCCAACCTTAAGGTCAGCAGTTCTAAACTACCAGCTGTTCCGTGGGAGAAAGATGAGGCTTTCTGCTCCCGTAAAGATTTACAGTCTTGGAAACCCTGTACAGGATCGCTATGGTTCGGAACCGACTTGATGGCACTTAACAACAAAAACAACAGTGGATTGCTAGAAAAACAGATCTGTCTTGGAAAAAATCCATCCAGAATGAGGATGGAAAAACTTTGTTATCAGGAGGGACCAGTCCCTGGAGAAGGACATCATGCTTGGTAAAGTGGAGGGTCAGAGAAAAAGAGGAAGACCCCCAATGAGATGGATTGACATAGTGACAGCAACAGTATGCTCAAACATAACAATTGTGAGGCTAGCGCAGGACCGGGCAGTGTTTCATTCTGTTGTGACAGGGCCGACAGGAGTTGGAACAGACTCCTTAGCACCTAATAACACTCTTCATGGGAGCCGATCACCAGGTTTGAACAGCTAACCTAGAGTTTGAGCACTTAACCAGGCTCTCCACAAAGGCTCTTCTGTCAAGTTGACCTCTTGGGGAGCCTTCTTAACCTATTTTAATGACTGCCAGACCCTACCCCACTTGCCTGTGGGGCCCACCGGTTGTAAGCTTCCCAGCTGTATTTACTCGCCTCCAGGGTTGGAAACCAGAGGCACAGTGGGTATGAAGTCCACACCCAGCTGAGCTGAGCTGTGAGTTTGGGGACTTAGAGGGCCACAGCTATGTCACCACTCAGTGCTGGGTAAAAAGTGGCTCAGAGTGAAAACAGCAGACCAAATCCAGGTCAGACTCGGGAAGGACTTTCTGACAGTACTCCTTGGAGTCTTGAAGAACAGTTCAGTACCTATATTAGACAACAGTTTGAGCATTCAGCAACCTGGAGGCAGGGGGTTAAGAGCACTGGACTCAAAGTTTGGACTGTTTTAATACTAACAATAGTAAACACCATCTATGGGATGAGAGAGGCCCTTGGTTGGGGGTCTAAACCATTTGCACTTGACTACTAACCTAAAGGTTGGCAGTTCGAAATCATCTACCAGCACCACAGAAGAAAGGCCTGGTAGTCTTCTTCCATAAAGATTGTTGCTGTTAACTGCCATCTAACTGAGTTAGACTCAAAAGTAGCCTGCTAACCTAAAGACAGGTACTTCAAACCTACCAGCTACTCTGAAGGGAACGGATGTGGCTGTCTGCTCCAGTAAAGGTTTATAGCAGTGGTAATCCTATGTAGGGTCACTATGAGTTGGGAGTAGCGCCATGGCCGTGGGCAGCCTCGTAGCAACAGAGTAGAACTGTTGCACAGGGTTTTCTAGGCTGTACGTTTTATAGGGAGTCCCGGTGTGGCTCTGTAGGTTAATGCGCTGGACTGTATGTAAGTCGGCTTGACCCACAAGGTCAGCGGTTCAAGCTCACCAGCCACTCCTCAGAAACCCTACACAGGGTCACTATGGGTCGGAACTGACTCGGCAGGACTTCACAACAACAACTTTTAACAGGAGCAGACTACTAGGTTTTTCTCCGGAAGAACCCGGTGTGGGTTTGAACTGCTAACTTCTCAGTTAGCAGTTAGGCACTTTAGCACTTAACTGTTGCATCACCAACCACCAGGGCTCCTTTCCTTAAAGATCACAGCCAAGAACGCCCTGTGGAGCAGTTCTGCTCTGTAACGCATGGGGTCATGGGGTCGGGGTCATGGGGTCGGTCCCCATGAGTCCCAAGCAACTCTAGGGCAACAGGTTTGATGTTTTTGTTTTGTTTTATGGAGTGACAACCATTCTCAGCAGGACCTTCCTAGAAATCAGATTCTCAAAGTAACCCAGAGGCATTATTATCCCAGGCAAACTGGTTTGCAAAGGCCACCTGGAAGTCTGGGAAGTCTGCCCTGAGTTTCTGAGCTCCCAGAAGGAGAGGGAGGAAGAAAGCAAAGAGAGAGGAGAAGGGGAAGGGAGGGAGGGGAATTGGGGGAACTGTGGAGGGGAGAGATCTATAGTAGGGGAGCAAGGGAAGGAAAAGTCGGAGAGAAATGGAGTTCAGGTAAAATACTGGTTTAGTCTGTCAGATAAACAACAAATACTAGTTTAGTGTGTTTCATACAATATTTTGTTGTTGTTAAATGTCATGGAGTCGGTTCTGACTCACAGTGACCCTGAATAGAATTTCCAAGGAACAGGTGGTGGGTTTGAACTGCTGACCTTGTGGTTAGCTGCCCAGTGCTTGTCTGAGTTGTTGTTAAGTGCCATCAAGTCTGTTCCAACTCATAGCAACCCTTTATAGGGTTTCTGAGGAGTAGCTGGTGAGTTTGAACCGCTGACCTTGAGGTCAAGTGCTTATCCTAAGGCACCACACCAGGACTGTCTGAGTTAGGTCATGCCAAAACGTTATTCATCATTTACCTGAAATTAAATTTAGCTTGACAGGCCTGTATTTACAAAACTGGCAACCTTAGGAGTGAAGGAGGGAGAGAGTGGGCTGGGGGGTGGGGGTGGGGCAGGAGAGGTGCTGGGAGCAAGGGGGGGCGGGGCCCTAGGGATGGTGGAGGCCTAGGGAAGGCGCCCAGCTGATGTTCTCCCATGGGACTGCACACAGAGTACAAGGAGTGCTTCTCCTTGTATGACAAGCAGCAGAAGGGGAAGATAAAGGCCACAGAGCTGCTAGTGGTGATGAGGTGCCTGGGGGCCAGCCCGACGCCGGGGGAGGTGCAGCGGCACCTCCACACTCACCACATAGGTAAGTCACGTGGGGTGGGGCCCAGTGGGGGGAAGGTGTGGAGGGCTCAGAAGTGTGAGGGGCAGGTGGCCATCAGAGCTAACCAGGATTGAGCTGTGGGGGTACCTAGCCAGTTATTCCAGCATCCCTGTGCTTCCTAGAATCCTCGCAGACACCTAGGATACCCCATTTCACAGAGGACCTGGGGGTCCAGGCATTCCAGTAAGCTTATCACAAACCTATACTAACAGCTGGCCCCAGTTTTGTATGAAAGTTTTCCCTTTATTGTAGACTTCCCTCATGCTGGGCTAGATAGACACTGTCCTAGCCCCCTGCTGGTACAGGTGTAGCGTCAGGTGTGAAACCACCAGGTAACTTCCAAGTTCTCAAGCCAATGCTGGAATCAGAACTGGAATGGGTTCCTCTGATTTCAGAGGCTGACCTGCTGAAAGTCAAGAGCGCTGCTAACAAAGGTCTGGAAGAAAACATGCCCAATTCCTTAGAAGTGGTTCCTACTGATGATGGATTATGGGAGTTTTTCAGTCCCTTCCTGGTCGTTTCCTGCGTTTTCTGTGATGGGAACATACTGTACAAACACCACATTTAAGAAAAAAAAAACAACGAGGGGTATCAGGAAGCGTTGGGGGGAGGGGAAAGCTGCTGTTTGTTGGGGCACTCAGGAAGGGGGGGCTGGCCTTGAAAGAGCACTTGGAGCAAGCCCCAAGGCCACTTGTCAGTCTCTGGCTCTCAGTTCCCCATCCCTTACATGGCTAGACACCATCTGTTAGGATTCCCGGAGGCCTAATAGAGCGTGGCTACAGCAGCATTGCTTATTACTGGGCCCATCCTGGGACGGGCCACAGTGCCTGGTGACAGGACACTAAGTAGTTTGGTACCTGAGAACCCCCATTGGGAGCTCCAAAGAAGTTGGTGGCTTTTGTCTTCTCCAAACAGGAAGTTTCACTGAGGTGGAAGGTCCAATTTCCAATTTCCTCAGGGCTTGGGTGGAAGCAACCCCGAGGCATTTAGGGTTGCAGGACAGAGCTTGGGTTGGAGGTAAATGAACCACTCAGGCTGGGACTGGGGCTTGAGGGCTCAGGTGGGGTCATCCTCTGACCATCCTGTGGCTGTCTCCTTGGCAGGGAAGCATGGCTTGCTCTAGGAGGGGTGGACACATGGGCTTCCTTCCTGCAACTCAAAGCAGGAGGGAAGCCCCCAGAAGGCAGTTGGGGGAGGGTGATCTTTCCGGGTCCTGCCACGCCCTAGCAGGCAGATGGTGACCACAATCTCTGAAGACTATTGGGAGGATGAGATAGTGAAGGTCCAGTCCCGGGAGTGGCTCAGGGTGGGAACTCATTAAGAAGTGCTTTGTCCTCCCCACTTAGACCACCACACCATTATGGTCTTCCTGAGCATGCTGGCCTCCACGCTCACTGAGAAGGCTCGGGCTGGAGGCTACTTGGTTGGCTTTCCCAAGAAGAGTCATTTTTTGCTACTCACTCTGCTGTATTGGGTGGGTGGGTGGGGGGTTCCTAGGCCAAAATGGAGAGCTGGATTTCTCTACTTTCCTGACAATTATGCACATGCAAATCAAACAAGAAGACCCAAAGAAAGAAATTCTCTTGGCCATGTTGATGACAGATAAGGAGAAGAAAGGCTACATCATGGCAGCTGAGCTGAGGTCAAAGCTCATGAGACTGGGGGAGAAGCTCACCCACAAAGAAGGTAAGAGCCTGGGAACCAGCCTCCCAACAGCTGGGGGAGGAGTTGGAAGGGGACCCCAGGGCCCAATCAGTGCCACCTGGGTTGTATAGACCCTCACAAGTGATGGTGCATCACAGAAGACTGGGACCTAACATCAAACTAGGGATAATCTGGACCACAGTTCAAAGGGAAGAGACAGGGTTCCCCTGGGGCCCTGGAGGATGTGGGACAGCCTGGGGAAATCTGCTAGGGGAGGCATCGACTTGGGTCCATGTTGTTAAGCTCCACGGAACCAGTTCCGACTCACAGCAGGATAGAGTTTACGAGGAGCAGCTGGTGGATTTGAACCACCAACCTTGCAGTTCAAACCGACCTTGTGTTCCAGTGCTTATTCTACAGCGCCACACCAGACCCTGCCCTGTGTTTAAGCTTTCAGAGTGGGCCTCCATTTAATGTTCACGACATCCCCCGTGGGCGCGGTTACTCACCTTATCAAACCAGTTGCCATTGGTCGGCTGACTCACGGCAACCCTGTGTCTGAGTAGAACTGTGCTCCACAGGGTTTTCTTTGTTTAACTTCTTACTGTGAGTTGGGTGAAGGTTTGCAGAGCAGATCCCTTTCCACACACAGTTTTGTTTCATCTCATTGATTGCGATCCCCACGTGACATCACATCCCATTCAGTCCCTCCCTGTGGCTCCGGTTTTCATTGCTCTCTTCTGAACTTTGTCTTTGAGTAAGTGGTAGGGTGGTGGGATGGTTGTGTGCCAACACGTCAGTTCCAACTCACAGTGACCCTGTGTAGGGTTTCCCAAGCTGTCCATCTTTATGAGAGTAGAGAGCTTCATCTTTCTCTGGTGAACTAACCTTGTAGTTCGCAGTGTAATTCGTAGGTAACCCACTACATCACCAAGGCTCCTTGGCTTAAGTGCTGCCATTTTTATCTCAAATGGTTCATTGTCCTAAGGAAAGCATACCTTTCTAGTGTTATTGTTCATTGTATAGAGCTGGCTGTGGGCTGAAAACTGAGCTAAGGGTTGAGCTCAGTTCCAGACCTGAAGGGGGACTAAGGGCTATAGTCTCAAGGCTTCCACCTGTGTCTCTATCTGACCAATACACTTTGGTTAGTTTTTTGTTTTTATGATTTTGAGGTTTGGTTCATATTTTTCTCCCACTCTATGCAGGACCTTCTAATGCGATCCCTTTTAGAGCAGTTGGTAATGGTAGCCAGGCATTATCTAGTTCTTCTGGCCTCAGGCTGGTCAGTAGTCCACCGGACCACCCAGTCATTTTTCAGTGGCTGATTTTTCAGAAGTAGATTGCCAGGCCATTCTTCTGAGGTTCTACCTCAGGGTGGACTTGAGCCTCCAACGTTTTGGTTCGAGTTTGGTTTGGTTTGGTTAGCTGAGTACATTCATCCTTTGTACCACTCAGGGACTCCTACCCACCTTCTAATGAATGATAAAGAAAGGTTGTGAAGCGAAGTGAGTATTTGGGAGTAGCAGAGCTAGGATTTGAATGCAGGTCTATTAGGAACACCCCACCCCCAACCCACCTCCCATCTGGGGCACAGATGTCTTCTGATGTTGCTGCTGATGCTGAGAACTTCCAAACTTAGATGCTGTTTGGTCCCTTTCCTCATGACTCAGTCAGCTCTTAAGAGCTCTTCCTGGAGGTTCTGTGGTGCCTTTTGCTGCGATGGTTGGATGAGAATTGCTGTCCTCGGGCTCCACCACAGGCCTTTCCAGAAGCCCAGCATACCTTCTGATGCAGAGCAGAACAAGGGCCCTAGGACCTCCGCGAAAGCCCTTTGTAAACTGTAAAGGATGACTCCAAAACTGGGACAGCTGTGGGTGTTCTTCCAGCCTGAGGGCATACTGCCCAGCTAGCCCCCCAAACTCTGCTGAACCCCCAGAGGCTGGAATTTCTACTTAGGCTGGCTTGCCTATGGTTGGGGTGGGAGAATTAGGTAGGGCACAACTGGTGGGGGGGCAAGGATTCATTTTGAGAGAACTTTTGGTATTTCATTAAAGTAGGGTTTGACTTTACAACAAGCCAAGAGGGGTTGAGAAGGTGTGGAGTCATGCTGCATGCCGACTGCCCCTCTTTCTGGGAGACTTTAGGTGGGCTGCGTTGCATAGCCACATTTGCCTCAATCTCCTCAGTATGGAATGAGGTTACCGTAGTCCCTCCAAAAGCTCTCTATAAATCAGTTTGTTTTGATTTTATATGTAGTTAAAAAGCCACAGTGCAAAGCATTTAAAAATAGTGCCACAGAAAGCAGCTTCATCCTCCCCCGTGCTTCTTCAGGCGGGCAGCGATCACAGTCTCATGTTTCCTTGTGGTTGTTTTCATATGAACTGCGGAAAACAGGGCTTCTCTTTCCCTCTCGGATTCTGAGGACACCTTGGTCTTTATGTACCATGGGTAGCGTAAGCAGATAGGACCAGCCAGTGTCTTAATTCTTGTGGTTAATGATCTCTGTCTAGAGCAAACACCACAGCCCCCAAACTTACACGCATCTCTTATTTGTTTAACCATCAAAGAAACATTTCAAAGAAACTGGTAATGTGTTCCAGACAAGCTGAAAGACAGGTTTCACTTCCTCTTGCAGTGGGGGACAGGAAAGATGATGCCAGAAGTCAGAATCCTCTACCAAGGGGAGTGAAAGAAAAATCTTCAATTTTATTAATAAACATTCTTTCAATTCACACACACACATAAATTCTTGAGGCAGCTGCAGAAGACTGGCAGGCCAGCCTCTCCCTTTTGAGGCCTGGGAATAAGCTGACTTGAGCACCCTGCTTCTTCAAAGGGAGACAGTGAGTGGTCCACTATTTTACCATTGGTGGGCTCCAGCGCCTGGCTTTGAAGTAGTGCGCCCTCTCCTGGTCAGGAGGCCGCAATGACAGTCTGGACTGGCTGGAAGTGGGTGCTGGGAGCCCCTGCTAACTAAAGCCAGAGCTGGCATTGAGCACATCCACTGGGATAGTCTTAAGCAACAGGCTGATGGGTAGAAGTTTCTCAGTGAAATAAGATAAATTGCAGTCCCCGCAACTTTCTAAAAATACCCAAAACTTCTGTCACTGACGACCTTCAGCAGAGCATGGTAATTACACTCTTTTGGAGAATCCCAGGATATTTTTCTTAACTGCTCAGAGTTGTGTGCTGGGGGCATCTGGGGCTAGGGAAGTCCACATAGGGTAGTGTGAGGGTTTGCAGCAGAGTTAGGAAGGGCCAAAGAGCCAAAGGTAGCCTGGAGAGGTTGCCATGGAGACTATAGGCTGAAAGGGGCCTTCTTGCCAATGCCTGGGACAAGCTAGTATTGGGTCCCTGAATCCAAAACCTGAAGAAATAAGCAAATGAAGTGATTTTTGAGTAGCACCCCAAAACAATGGCAGTTTTGTACTCTTGGAGCTATGGATACAGTTGGATTTATTTCTTCTTTTGATTACCCCCACTCCCAAACACACACACTGCTTTTTAAGAGGTGATGGTAACAAACACCTCTTGTCACAAAGTCATTGGTATGAGGACAGGGGTGGTAGAAAATGCTGACTTGGAAGAGAAAGCTGGTTGGTCAAGGGCAGGCCGGACACCAGCACAGGGCGGGCTCCAGGTGTCCTATCTGCCAAGGTAGTCGGAGGCTGAGCTGTGGAAGGTGAAACCCAGACCAGAGATTTCTGAAAATACAGCTACAGGGGCTTCTTAAAAGAACAAAACAAAACACATTAACAGTGTAGCTTCAGCAACTGAAACCTGACCAGCACACCTCCCCTAGCCCGGGGGCCCAGCCCGGGAGAGAGCACACTGTGCTCAGAATCGAATTGAGTGGTCTCCAAGGGGATGGACGTGGTTTGTCCCTTGTTTACTGGTTTACTTCCTGGTCTACAAGAATAGTCTGTTGGACACTCAGGGAAGACCTCTGGGGAGCCCCAGTCCCCAAAGACCTCAATGTCCTATCATGTAACACAAAAGTCAAACTGAAAAATTAATGTGATTGATTGCAGTGGATGAACTTTTCAGGGAAGCGAACATTGACCCGAATGGCAAAGTGAAGTATGAAGAATTCATCCGCAAGATCACCCTTCCTGCCCAGGACTACTGAATGAGGACGGTGCGCGAGAGCTTTCCCCGGTCCTGGAAGCTCAAGACCGATGAATTTTTAAAAAGAAACGCGTTCCTTTCACTTTAGGGAGATGGCCAATGCAGGAGTTAAGATGACAATACCCACCGTAGCTGAGAATAACTGGCAACGAAAAACCGTTTCAGCTGTGTGTGTGGTATTAGCATGTCTTTAATAAATGATTGTTACGAATTTTAGGAACGGCCGTTAGTCCAACACTTTATTACTCCAAAATGGCTACCCCAGTGTCAACTCAAACCTCATCTCCTGTCCCTTCCCCCAGCTCCCACTGTCGAGGAAAGAGCATATAGCCCCCTCCTCCCGCTATGTAGACCAAAATTCTTTGTTCCCTAGGAAGGGGCAGGCAGCCCTGCGCCTTATGATTTTCCTCCGTTTTCCCTGTTCTGCATGCCACCCTAACTGCCCTGAAGCTTGTATACCCCATGATACAGGAAGAGCCTAGCCCACACCTCACTTTACTATCCAGCCGGTCACCACTGGAAACAGCTGTTGGTCATCCTTTGTCAGTGAGCTCTCCTGTGGACAGTCTTTTCTTTTCTGTAATAAACTAAGGTCTTTTGGATTGGGTCCTGGTCACTTTTGTCAGTCTCTCATCCCTGTGTACTCAGAAGGCTTTTCCCTTCTGGGCCTGGAACCCGACACTCAGGTTTGGAGTCGGACCTGGGTTCCAGTTCTGGTTCCGTGTCTCCCAGCTGTGTGACTAGACATTGTTTCACCCTTCCAGGCCTCAGGATCCTCACTAAAGTGAGACTCCTACACCTGGCCTCATGGGGAAGAGCTCTGGTAATGCAGTGGTAAGGCGCTTGGCTGGTAAGCACCTGCCATTCAATCCACAGTCTGCTCCTATAAGGATTACAGTCTTGGAACACTGAGTTGGGATCGACTAGATGGAAATGTTTGTTGGTTTGGTTTTTACCTCAGGGAGCCCGTGATGGGTAATGGCCTCTGTAAACTGAGAACCCTACATAGTCCTAGTCACGGTTCTCCTGGAAAGGGCCAGCTACCAAAAGTCCATGTTTCGTTTTTGGGTGCTGGAATCATCTTTCACATTTCTAAGGGGAGAGGGAAAATAAAAATCAATGCTAGCTGACAAATAGCAACAAGCAAAAACCATTAGTAAAAAAATATCCACTTAAACCAAAACATAAGGAGCTCTGGTAGCGTAGTGGTTACAAATCAGGCTGCTAACCTCAGGGACAGCAGTTCAAAACTACCAGCTGCCCCGCGGGAGAAAGATGAGGCTTTCTGCTCCCGTAAAGATTTACAGCCTTGGAAACCCTGTGCAGGGTCACTATGGGTCGGAACTGACTCGATGGCACATAACAACAACCAACCAAAACATACAGAAACATTTCTTTCGTACCCATAGGGACACTTACAAATTCTCATCTGCATCTCAAGCTAGAGCTCAGGATATTGATTCACAGACAGAGCACCAACTGCAAAGAGCCTCATGTGAAAACGAGGCTGGATCCACAAAGCAGCGGAAGCAAGCATGACTGACTTCGCATCTCCACACCAAAGAAAGCATGTTGCACTCAGAGGCCTAGGTTTTCAGTAGGACTTTTGGACACTCCTGCTAGAACTTGGAGCTCTCCCCTAGGCTCTGTCATCAGAGCTTTAAGGACCAGAACGGTAGGCTCAAGTGGCTCCAAACTGATCAGGGCCTCAACCCACTTCCCCCAGGACTAATGAAAGGAGGTAAGTAAGGGAGTCGTATTTGAAAGTGCAGCCATGGCCAGCGATACAGCAAGAGAACTGAGAAACAGGTGTAAGGGTACCGGACCTTCTGAAAGCCCTTCCAGCTCAACAGGCTTTGAGTGAGTCCTAGAGCCAGGAGGCACTGTGGACTGGCACTTGCTGAGCTTCAGGGGTGGCTACACACTTGTCAAATGTGCAGGCCTAGACAGGGCTGGAGTCACACACACCAGCACAGATGAAGGGAGGGAGGAGGCGTGACTGAGCACAGAGATTTGCATCCATCCATGTATCCAAATTGGACACTCTGGGCTGTGGCTTTGCCTTAGTGGCTAAAGCAGAAGAAAATGAAAACAAGAAAGGGATGGGATGTGCCTTTTGGGAGGTTACACAAGACACAAATCTTTACTAAGAGCCAGGCATCAAGGAAAATGCATGGAATAGGAGAGTCACAGTCTGTGTGGGTTTCTCATCATGCTGAGAGGCTCTGGACCTACCGAGGTCTGAGAAAGGAAACCCTTTTATTTTTGCGATACTGTAATTGCCTATGGCAGAGGTGGGATACGTCGGGCCTGCAGGCCCTATAAGGTCCCCAGGAAATCGTTTGCTCTGGACCTGCCAAGGCAACCTCAGTTCCAGCCATCACATTAGGGATGAGTTAATTAAATCTTCGACCAAATATAGCAAGCTAATTTTTAAGTTGATAATTTCATAAGGCCTGCGGATGATGTTATAAATTTTGGCATTAAACAGGTTTCCCATCCCTAGTCTCCAGGAACTGGTGTCCCAGTTGGATGATCACAGTTTTACGTAGTTGGTGTCGGGCCATTTACTGCCTGCCCTCCCAGGAGCTGCAGAGAAAGGTCTTGTGGTGGGAGGCGGGCAGTAAATGGCCAAACATCAACTACATAAAATTGTGATCATTTAACTGGGACACTAGTTCCCGTGATGCGGAGGCAGATCCAGGTTTTGTGGGGCCTGAGGCCTTCATGATTTGGCAGCTTTCTTTAAGAATACAAAAATAAAAATTAATTGCTAAGGCTGCTCCCAAGATCCCGGAAGAGGCCTGAACCAGTGAGGGATCATGGCACCTACACTTCATTATCTTCTGTTGAATTCACCTAAGAGCTGGTTAGGCAGTTGTTGTTAAGTGCCATCGAGTCGATTTCGACCCATAGCGACCATATATAGGGTTTTCAAGAAGCAGCTGGTGAGCTTGAACCACCGACCGTACAGTTAAAACGACTTTGCAGTCTGACGCATTAGCTCACAGTGCCACACCAGGGCTCTATGCTGTTGCTGTTATGTGCTGTGGAGTTGGTTCCAACCCATAGTGACTCTGTATAGGGTTTCCGAGGCTGTAAATCTTTAAGGGAGCAGAAAGCCTCATCTTCTCCCACAGAACAGCTGGTAGTTTCAAACTGCTACGCTACCAGAGCTCCTTTAGTAGCACCGCATAAAGACCCGAACTCACTGCCACTGAGTTGGTTCTGACTCACAGTGACCCTGTGTACCACCCTGTTGACAGTGTTAGAGCAGAAACCTCATCTTTCTCCTGGGGAAGGGCTGGTTGTTTGAACTACTGACCTTGCTACTTGACCCAAGGCAAATGCACTGTGCCACCAGGAACCTGGGTGGGGGTGGGGGTGGGCCACTGAGTCGGTTCCAACTCAAAGCAACCTGGTATAGTTTCCAATATGCTGATGATACAACTTGCTTGCTGAAAGTGAAGACTTAAAAAATATTTACTGATGAAGATCAAAGAACACAGCCTTCGATATGGATTACATCTCAACGTAAAGAAAACAAAAATCCTCACCACTGGACCAATAAACATTCTTATCAATGGATAAAAGATTGAAGTTGTCAAGAACTTCATTCTTCTTGAATCAACTATCAACACTCGTGGAAGCAGCAGTCAAGAAATCAAACGACGTATTGCATTAGGCAAATCTGCTGCACAAGACCTTTTTAAAATGTTGAAGAGCAAAGCTGTCAGCTTGAGGACTAAGGTGCACCTGACCCAAGCCATGGTATTTTCAATAACCTCATATGCATGCGAAAGCTGGACAGTGGATAAGGAAGACCATAGAAGAATTGATGCCTTTGAGTTGTGGTGTTGGAGGAGAATATTGAAAGTACCATGGGCAGCCAAAAGAACCAATAGATCCGTTTTGGAAGAAGTGCAGCCAGAGTGCTCCTTGGAGGCTAGGATGGCCAAACTTCGTTTCTCATGCTTTGGACATAGTGTCAGAAGGGACCAGTCGCTGGAGAAGGATATTATGTTTGGTAAGGTGGAGGGTCAGAGAAAAAGAGAAAGACCCCGAGAGAGATGGATTGTCCAAGTGGCAGCATCGATGGACTCAAGCGTGGCAACAATAGTGAGGTTGGCCCAGGATAGGGCAGTGTTTCGTTCTGCTGTGCATAGGGTCGCTATGGGTCGGTACTGACTCAATGGCACCTAACAACAACAACATAGTTCCGAGGCAGTAAATTTTTATGAGGGCAGCCTGCCTCTTTTCCCATGGCATGGTGGGTGGGTTTGAACCACAGACGTTGTGGTTAGCAGCCTAGTGCTTATCCGACAGTGCCACCAGGGCTGTTTTTGGCATCTCATATTGTTGTTAAGGGTTGTTGAGTCGGTCCCAATTCATAGTGTCCCTGTACAGGGTTTCCGAGGCTTTAAATCTTCCCGGGAACAGAAAGTCTCATCTTTCTCCTGTGGAGCAGCTGGCAGGCTCACACCGTTAACTTTCTGGTTTGCAGTCCAGTGTTGATCATATGGAGCCGCCACACTTAAAAAGAACTGCAGTTTCACCTTCAGACAAGGACAAGGATCCTATAGCCACTGGTGTCACTAGGGGGGTGCAGACCACACCAGGTGACACTGTCAAAGGAGTAACACCAAAATGAGTCTATAACACTTATTGCTATTTATTATTTTTGTATAAAAATATCCCTAGTTATAATAACAGCAGCAGGTTCTTAAGCTCAGTTTACATGTATCATTGTACCTACAAGGCTAAAACTCTAGGCTAACTTGTTGAACCTTCTAACATGCTCTGGTCAGAGCTGCCATTATTGACCAATTACGTCGATCCTTTTAATCACGTGCTTTGTGCGCAGCCGTGCTACAAGTAAACTGTTGTTTTTATTGCTGCCAGTGTTACCAAACAACAAAGTGTTGTGTTGTGTAGTCGCTGATTTAGTAGATTTTTCTGGTGTTTTAACTGTGGTGGTATTTGTGAACTTCTACAAATAACTCTGAGAATGAAGGAGTAATTAAGGGAGAAAGAAAAAA